TCACGTGAAGCGGGTATTGTTCCAGCTCAGCAAGTCTGGCCTCGTCTAACCAGCTCTGCAGCGCCTGAGTTTCTGCAGCTGACCGTCATGTTTGAGCAGATAACGCCGTGGGTGTGTTGCTCGCCGCTGCCCGCGCAGGTCGAGGGTCACCATCAGGACACTGACCCCCGCCGTGCTCCTAGCAGGGGTCAAACGGATGTAAGCACGGATGGCTGCGCTGGATTTCTGCAATTCCTAACCAAAGATGGCTGAAGGGGCAGATTAGCTCAATCCTGACCCGAATGTGGAATCAGGAATCAGTCAGACGACCCAATGTGTGAATGTTTCCTAATTCAGGCAGGAAATCTGATTTTATTTATTTCTTATTCAGCTGAAAACTGCCAGAATGTTTGGGTTCATCCAGCAGCAGCCGGTCTGACGGCGTTAGAAACATTAGAGTCTGATCCACAAACGGAGAATCCTGCAGTTCCTTCGCTTTCCGTCGCCAGTAAAGGAGCACTGCAAGAAATATGAATCTAAATAAGTCCTTTTTTTTTCTTAAAATAAGTGCATTACGGCTTCAATCGAGGAGCCAAGTGAGACACTTTGCCAAAGGAAACAAAGACAGTTTATATTTAAAATAAGAAAAAACACAATTGCATTGTCTTCCTTAAAGTGAATATTATCTAATTATCTTATTTTAAGAGTAAAAATACTCATTCCATTGGCAGATTATCTTATTTACTTTCTCAAATTAATAGTAAATAAGGCTAAATTTAAGAAATTTTACTTATTTTTAGATCTTATTTGCATTGAGGTGCAAAACATCATTTAATCTAAGATAAGACACTTAAACCTCTGATAAACTGAACTGGTTTCTGGCCCGGTTTATTCTTTAGAAAGTGATGCAGAATTGGAAATATTATGCATCATTTTAGACCTGAGTTCCTTTATTTTTCAGGTTTCAGGTGTGGATTATACGGAAGAGGATTAGGGCCACTGGAAAAAAAAGAAAAAGTTAACTGATTTTTAAATTTTATTTCAGTTTAGTATGGAAAAAAGTTAGAATTCTGACTTTAATCTCAGAATTCTGACTTTAATCTCAGAATTCTGACTTTAATCTCAG